ATAGCACCTTCCTTTGTTCCTATAAAGTATACTAGAATTTTAAGAAAGAATTCAATTAGGTACTTTTTCAGCTTGAATTAGTGATATCATGAAAAAACAAAAAACAGTAAGGAGATTGCACCAAAAACTCAATCAAATTAATTGCATAGTTAGACTATTGACTTGTTATATGAAGCAGCATAATTAGTTGTTGAATAAAATGATGGTGCTTATCATTAGATTCAATAGTGTTTCTATAGTGGAATGCTCCCATAAACTTGGAGAAATGGATGGTAAGGGTAGTGTACAGAGTCATGACCATTCTCATCGTTGTGATTACAATTCCTATCATCTTGGCCACACTAAGTAATTTCTTCACATCCACATTCTCTAACCTGATTAATCAATCATTGGAACATAATTAACTAATCACACTTTTATGTAATGAATTCTAATAACTAAAGACATTTTACATGTGAAAATGGAGTGATTATGAGTATTTTACTTATAGCACAAGTAATGCATGAATAGTGCACGAAAAATACACAAATAATCCACATATAAGGTTGCTTCCATTATTGCTGATATGTATGTTATCCCCACATTGTATAAGTTCTAGTCTAGCACTAGCTTGATGATCACTCAATGTTTAATTAATTTTGATTTAAAGAAAATAATTGCATAAAAAGATGAAGGAAATGATAGCTAGAAGTTTCAAGCATTACTCAAGAATACCAAGTGTCATTATCCTTAAGGAAGATAGGTAGAGTTAATTTTGCCCTTGCATTTTTGCAGACATGAACATAAATATTAAAATTAGATCAAACTAAGAAACAAAACATGCACATGTTACGTTTGATCAAAATTAAGAGGGGAAAGGAATGTGTGAGGGAAAGCTAGAGCAAAGACCTTTCGAGGACAAAGGCAAAGGGAACCATGATAAGAAATGCAATTGCATGACGATAGACTGAAAGGATGTAGTGACTCATGCTTGTCTTTAAAGCAAGGACAATGTCATCCCTGAATAACCAAACTGTAAGGAAACCATTACCAAGAATGGTCTTGTTTTCATCACCCAACACACAACCCACCAAAAAGACTTTGGCCTACTAGCTTGATTTCTCTTTCTTATATTGATTAGCTCAAAGAATAAAATGTAATTACTAGAAAATCTCATAACTTTTTTTGGACAACAACAAAAATTTTATCAAATTAAAGAAAATTTCAACATATCGATTAAATTAAAGAAAAAAAATTCAAACAACACTTGCTAACACAAAATAAATGAACAG